CAACGGTACTGGTCCTGCCGCGGCTTCGCCGGCAGCACGCTTGCGCTCGCGGTTCCGGAGCGATGTCGCGGGTCTAGGGCTGCGTTTTGGTTTGCCGCGCTTACGGCTGTTGGTTCGTTTCCGTGCTAGTGCGCCTTTTTGCCAAACTGGTTGGGCGTCACTACGTGCCGCGTTGGGCGACAGATGTCGTAGGCTCGGCTATGATTGCGTAGTTTTCGTGCTGCGTGGAGTTGCAGGACGGCCATGCTTCGCGTGTCGTGGAGGGGTGTGCAGGGCATGAGGTGTTGGAGCGAGGCGTTGCGGCTGCGGAGCGCGGCCTTTCGCTATGCTGGTAGGGGTAGACTGCCACTGTTGCTGCTGTGCGTTGTTGGTTGCATCCAGTAGGGAGGCGGTGTAGGCAGGTGGTTTTGGTGGGTATTCGTAGGCAGCTTGGATAGAGCTGGCAACTCCTGGCGTATCGGTGCTGTTTGCTATGAATCCCGCGCCGTAACACGCCGGATTGCTGAAGGTGGGGTTGCATGCATGCTGGGTATGCAGCGTTGCATCCGCCTTGCTAGAGGCTGTCCACCGGTTGTCAGACACACACGGATGGCAGCAAAGCAGCAAACAGGCGGCTTGCATGTCGTGTCAAAGGAAGTGCGTTGCAACGGTGCTCGTGCTGCCGCGGCTTCTCCGGCAGCACGCTTGCGCTCGCGGTTCCGGAGCGATGTCGCGGGTCTAGGGCTGCGTTTTGGTTTGCCACGCCTACGGGTGTTGGTTCGTTTCCGTGCTAGTGTGCCTTTTTGCCAAACTGGTTAGGCGTCGACACGTGTTGCGTTGGGCGACAGAGGTCGTAGTCTCGGCTATGATTGCGTAGTTTTCGTGCTCCGTGAAGTTGCAGAACGGTCATGCTGCGCGTGTCGTGGAGGGGTGTGCAGGGCATGAGGTGTTGGAGCGAGGGGTTGCGGCAGCGGAGCGCAGCCTTTCGCTATGCTGGTAGGGGTAGACTGCCACTGGTGCTTCTGCGGTGCGTTGTTGGTTGCATCCAGTAGGGAGGCGGTGTAG